CAGGTTCGATTCCGGTCAAGGGCATGTACCTTGGTTGCGCCGCTACATCCCCAGTGGGGGGTGTGCAGGAGGCAGCTGATCGGTGTTTCTCTCTCATGGATGTTTCTAACTCTCTATCCCTCTCCCTTCCTCTCTGTAAAAAATCAATAAAATATATATATTTTTTAAAATATCTGTGATGCTTCTCTAAGTTGGTGATGGGCCGTACAGGCTGCCGGCTGCCGATGGCGCCTTCCCCTGAGCCCGCGGTGACCGGGTGTCTGGGCTGCAGGGGCGGCCTCTGCCGGGCCGTGACGTGACGTGGTGTCGGGGTGTCGCCCTGTCCCAGGAGCTGCGGTCCCGCGAGGAGGAGCTGAACCGGGCGGCCCTGCAGCAGAAGTCGCAGGAGGAGCTGCTGAAGCGGCGGGAGCAGCAGCTGGCGGAGCGCGAGATCGACGTGCTGGAGCGCGAGCTCAACATCCTCATCTACCAGCTCAACCAGGAGAAGCCTAAGGTCAAGCGGAGGAAGGGCAAGTTCATGAGGAGCCGCCTGAAGCTCAAGGACGGGCACCGCATCAGCCTGCCCTCAGGTGGGCCCGTCCGCAGGCCACCCCGGGGCCAGCCGCTCGCTCGGCGGTGTGGCCTGGGCCCCGGGAAGCCATGGGGAGGGAAGGAGGCCCCCAAACATGGAGCATCTTCGGTTGCTTCCCGCAGTGCGTGGTCCTCGTGCCGTCAGCCACGAGCTGCCACGTGAACCAGAGCATGGCACACGAGTATGTGTTTTATTATATTTTTTAAAATATATTTTATTGATTTTTTTACAGAGAGGAAGGGAGAGGGAGAGAGAGTTAGAAACATCGACCAGCTGCCTCCTGCACACCTCCCACTGGGGATGTGCCCGCAAGCAAGGTACCTGCCCTTGAACGGAATCGAACCTGGGACCCTTCAGTCCGCAGGCGGACGCTCCATCCACTGAGCCAAACCGGCCAGGGCTGTATTTTATTATTTTTTAAATATGTTTGTATTGATTTCAGAGAGGAAGGGAGAGAGAGAGATAGAAACATCAATGATGAGAGAGAATCATGGGATCGGCTGCCTCCTGCACGCACCCACACTGGGGATTGAGCCTGCAATCCAGGCATGTGCCCTGACCAGGAATCGAACCTGGGACCCTTCAGTCTGCAGGCCGACGCTCTATCCACTGGGCCACACCGGCTAGGGCGGCATGCGAGTATTTAACTCTTCGGTAATTTTGCTTGTAGGGATTAGTGGATTTTCTCCTTGTGAAACCAAAGCAGAATTCCCGTGCAGCTGATCGCACGACTCCGAGTGCGTGGAGAAAGTCCGGGACAGCTGTCGCTATTTCATCGTTAGGGTTATTGCCTCCTGGGGATCTTTAGTGTCACATGGTCATTTGGGACAGGGAAGATGCTGCCAGCACCTTCGACAAGATATATCAAATAGTTTAATTACTTCCGTCTGAGGGTTTAAAGTGCGTTAGGTACAAAAAAGAACCAGGAAATCTAGGGAAGCTTTTAAAAATGTTCTTAAATCATTGTGATGGGAGCATGAAGGGATTACATGTGTCAGGAGATGCCAAGCAGAAGAGAAAATAGCACACAGCCCGACCAGCGTGGCTCAGGGGTTGAGCTCTGATCTACGAACCAGGAGGTCACGGTTCGATTCCCGGTCAGGGCACATGCCCGGGTTGTGGTCTCGATCCTCAGTGTGAGGCGTGCAGGAGGCAGCTGATCCATGATTCTCTCATCATGGATGTTTCTCTCTCTCCCTCTCCCTTCTTCTCTGAAATCAAAATATATTTTTAAAAAAACCACAAATACTAGGTGATTCTTTAAGGTAATAAAGTAAACTATGGGTTCTGCAAATATGAAATGGACATGTGTCAGAGATTTTTCTCAACTCACTGGTGAATGAGGGAACCCGTTCCAATTGGTTCGATAGTGTTAACGGGACCAGGTCTTCTCTATGGGCCATTAGTAAAGGAATGTGAGGGTTCGATTGCTGGTTAAATACCAACCTGGTTAATGCCCGGAAAGGCAATAAACCGTAACCTTTGGGATTGTCTTTCTGGCCAGACAGAAACTATTTGCATCATCCCCAGACGAACTCTACACGTTAACCTCTGCCCCTCCTGAGCTGTAAAAATACCCCAGTCACTCGAAAATCAATCAAAGACGAAGGCAGAACACCCAGGATGTCCCTTACTTGTGTCTGAGTTTTAAATATATATATATATATATATATATATATATATATATATATATATATATGTTTTTTTACATTTTACTAAGACAGTCTCCCCTTCCATCTGCTACTATTCTTTCTTTCATATATTCCCATAGTTCTTTGCACAGCTCTGTCTGGACTCCTACCCTCCCTTACAGGTAGGTAATGGTACCTGCCATTTGTAAAGTGCTGTGACCACAAAGTACTTTTATTTTCTTTTTTGTTAATGATTCTTTTTTTAAAAAAATATACTTTTATTGATTTTAGAGAGGAAGGGGGAGGGAGAGAGAGAACCATCCATGATGAGAGAGAACCATGGATCGGCTGCCTCCTGCACGCCCCACACTGGGGATCGAGCCCGAAACCCGGGCATGTGCCCCAACCGGGAATCGAACCGTGACCTCCTGGTTCCTAGGTGGACGCTCAACCCCTGAGCCCGCCGGCCGGGCTCTCTGGCAGTTTTTGCTCTGATTGCTATGTGCCGAAGACGCGGCTGTGAAAATAACTTCAAACCAGGAAATCTCAGTTCTTTCTCTCCCGTCTGACAGATTTCCAGCACAAAATCACCGTGCAGGCCTCTCCCAACCTGGACAAACGGAGGAGTCTGAACAGCAGCGGGTCCAGCCCGCCCAGCAGCCCCACCGTGATCCCGCGGCTCCGGGCCATACAGCGTGAGCGCCTCCCCGCCCCCGGGCCCCGTGTCTGTTTCTGTCATTGGTTCAACTGGTTGTAACTGAGCATTTGACATGGAATCGATGTCACAACTATTGGGAAAACAAAATTTAGACTTACATTCCTAAATCTAGTTTTCTTCCATTGATAACATTTTTTAAAGTATACTTTTATTGATTTCAGAGAGGGACAGAGAGAGAGAGAGAAACATTGATGATGAGAGAGAATCATTGATCAGCTGCCTCCTGCACACCCCCTACTGGGGATTGAGCCCGCAACCCTGGCATGGGCCCTGACCAGGAATTGAACCGTGACCTCCTGGTTCGTAGGTCGATGCTCGACCATTGAGCCACGCCGGCCGGGCTTGGCTCTTATTTTCCCCCCCCAAATACAGTGAAATTCTAACTGTCACAGAATGTTAAATAGATAAATAAATAATCCAATCTTTGCTACTACTTTGCCTAGATTTTGTACCTTTTCTTCTAATTTATTTCAGTTTTTGTGCGAATTTTCTCATTAGAGAAAGCTCACCAGTGAAAGAAATCATTTGTTATTTTTATGCTTCTTCATTGTTTATGTGTTTTGAGCAAGGTAGTTTTTTTGTGTGCGTGTTTTGTTTTTTTTTTTACAAATGATTTGATTCTTCTGACTTTAAAGTTTCTTACTTGATGAATGAGTGATGCTCCCTGTTTAGTGACTTCAGATGAAAGCAACAGAACGTGGGGAAGGAGCACGGTCTGCCGACAGGAAGAGTTTGAGGATGTAAGAAGGAATTTCAAGAGGAGAGGCTGTACCTGGGGACCCAGTTCTATCCAAATGAAAGAAAGAACTGATTGCAAAGAAAGGTACGTGTGCGCCCCCTGGTGGCTCCAGTGGGTACTGCGACAAATGGCAGCACCCTCTCAAGTACGGCATTGGCCAGACTTAACTTAAAAAAAAAAAAAATTAGACTTCTATGTGGAATCGAATGAACAAAATAAACTGATGAACAAAATAGATCCAGAAACATGGAAGCATAGAACAGACTGACGAATCTCAGAGGGAAGGGGGCCAGGGGGACGGGAAGAGATTAACCAGAGAGCTTACATGTATAGATGCATAACCTCTAACCCATGGACACAGACCACAGTGTGGTGAAGGCTGGGGAGGAGGTGGGAGCAGGAGGGGGGAGTTAATGGGGTGGCGGGGGAAAGGGGAACCTGTGTAATACTTTCAACAATAAAGATAAATTTTAAAAGTAAATAATAATGCCCTAACCGGTTTGGCTCAGTGGATAGAGCGCCGGCCTGCGGACTGAAGGGTCCCAGGTTCGATTCCGGCCAAGGGCATGTACCTTGGTTGCGGGCACATCCCCAGTAGGGGGTGTGCAGGAGGCAGCTGATCGATGTTTCTCTCTCATCGATGTTTCTAACTCTCTATCCCTCTCCCTTCCTCTCTGTAAAAAAATCAATAAAGATTTTTTTAAGTAAATGAATAAATAATAAGATAAAACATTTAAAAATTAGGATACTGTAGAGATATCTGGATATGGTTTCCATTTCTAAAATGAGTTTATCATACGCATTCATTATTATTTAAAGTTAAATCTCTGACATATTATCTGTCTGATTTTTAAGGTTTTATTTGTGCTTCGTTAGCTCCTCAACAGCTAATTGGCTATGTGTTTCTATTACATTAAAATAAACATCTTGCCCTAGCTGGTTTGGCTCAGTGGTCGAGCATCGGCCTGTGGACTGAAAGGTCCCGGGTTCGATTCCTGGTCAAGGGCACGTACCTCGGTTGCAGGCTCCTGGCCCAGCCCTGGTCGGTAGCATGCAGGAGGCAACCGATCGATGTGTCTCTCTCTCACATCGGTGTTTCTCTCTGTCTCTCCCTCTTCCTTCCACTCCCTCTAAAAATCAATGGAAAAAATATCTTCGGGTGAGGGATTAAAAAGGAAGGAAGGAAGGAAGGAAATAAAATAAGTGTCTTTCTCTCGTAGAATAAGACCTCTCTCGGATGGCAACAGTCCTTGGTCAACTCTCTTCATAAAACATCACAAAACCATGCCGTTGGATTCGTTGTTTGTGGACCAACCAGGTACGTGCCTCAGAAACAGAATTTGCTTCACACCCCGATTCTGGGTGTTGTAGAAGCAGTTGAGCAGCCTTAGCATATCATTAGCATATTACGCTTTGATTGGTTGGACAGCAGACCGGTCGACCGGACACTTAGCATATTAGGCTTTTATTACGTGGGGTTGTCTGTGCCTGTCCAGACAGAGGGAGTCCTCCGAGAAGCCATCCTACTTCTTTCTTAGAATCTTTTGATCCCCATCACTCCTCCTCCTAGACCAGTGGTTCTCAACCTTCCTCATGCCGCGACCCTTTAATACAGTTCCTCATGTGGTGGTGACCCCCAATTTCATTGTTACAAATTGAACATCATTAAAGCATAGTGATGGATCACAAAAACAATATGTAATTATAGATGTGTTTTCCGATGGTCTTAGGCGACCCCTGTGAAAGGGTCGTTCGACCCCCAAAGGGGTCTCGACCCACAGGTTGAGAACCGCTGTCCTAGAGGAATACCAGGACATATTGGGCTCACTCCGTCCGGGCACCGTTAAGCTATGGATTTCCTTTGACAACAGCATCTCCCCTCTTTCGTGTAGATACTTTGGGGTTTGGTTACCTATACTAGGTGCTCAGTGCACCCGAGGGCATATATTTTTCCATTGATTTTTTAAAAATATATTTTATTGATTTTTTACAGAGAGGAAAGGAGAGGGATAGAGAGTTAGAAACATCAATGAGAGAGAAATATCGATCAGCTGCCTCCTGCACACCCCCTACCGAGGATGTGCCCACAACCAAGGTACATGCCCTTGACCGGAATCGTACCTGGGACCTTTCAGTCCACAGGCCGACGCTCTATCCACTGAGCCAAACCGGTTACAGCTCCATTGATCTTTTAGAGAGAGAGTGGGAGGGAGGGGGAAAAAACAGAGAAACATTGATGTGAGAGAAACACATCGATTGGTTGCCTCCTGCACGTGCCCTGACCAGGGTCCTGCAACCGAGGTACGTGCCCTCGATCAGAATGGAACCCAGACCTTTTGGTCCACAGGCTGATGCTCTGTCCACTGAGCCAAACGGGCTAGAGCTATTGTGCGTGTAGTTTAAAGGACTTTACCTGGAAGACGCTCCTCCTTTGTGCATCTCTGCCTTTCTCAGGTGCTTGCGAAGAACCCAAACCCTCTGCGGACGGATCAGAGCCCAGAAAACCACAGCAGATCAAACCCTCAGCGCCAGCCCCGGCGGACCCGCCTCTGGGGAAAGATGGGCAGCGAGAGAGCCCGCCGGAGACTGAGAACTGGGAGGATGCTGCCTCAGCCGCCGGCACCCCTCAGGGGACCCCGACCCACACTCTGAGCAGGCCGCCCCCCAGGAGAAGGACGGAGGGCGCCCTGTACAGCTGCACCGCGCTGTTGGCGGCCGTGGCCCTGGGCCTGGACATCCGAGAGCTGCCCCGGGTGCCGGCCTCGGAGGAGCCGGGGCCCAGGGAAGAAAGGAAGAAACGCGAGGGCATCCTGCAGCGGGCACCCTGGCCCCGGGGGGCCGCCGATCGCCCCCGGGCATCGGCCACGCTGCCCCCGCCCGGCGCCCTGGGTCTTCTCTCCAGGCCCTCCCTCTCCACCAAGTGCCTGCTGCAGGCGGAGGGCGGGGATTCCCTCGAGGGCGGCGCCCACAGCATGCGCGCCCCCGACGTGCTCACTCCGGGTGTCTGTCCTGCCGCAGGAGGGTGCCAGCCCGCCTCCCCACCCAGACGCGAGGCCGAGAGCGGGGTGTGGAGGCACCTGGGTCCCCCCTCCTCGGAGCTGCCCCGTGGGAACGCGCCTCCCTGTGCTTCCTCGAAGAAAAGGGCAGCGAGTCACAGGCGGACCGTGTCCGATGGCAACGCCTCTCTGGCCCCAGGTAGGCGCTCGGAGGGCAGGTACGGACAGCACTGTAGGCGGCAGAGTGTCACCCCGCATCTGGGCGCCTGACACGTGATGGCATTTCCCAGTGTCTCCATTTACAGCTGTGTTTCCACCAGGCACACAGGCCTTCGAATTCTACCCTACGCCTTCCTTTCACATCATCTGGATTCTGGGAAAAGGATAATTAAGCATCAGTCACTTAAATATGTAATAATTAATAGCACCTTAAATCAGAAAGCCCAGGCGAGCCCGGCTGGTGGTCAGGTTTCCGTTTTTTAAAAATATATTTTTATGGATTTCAGAGAGTAAGGGAGAGGGAGAGAGAAAGAGAAACATCAATGAGGAGAGAGAATCATGGATCGGCTGCCTCCCGCACGCCCCCTATTGGGGATCGAGCCCACAACTGGGCCTGTGCCCTGACCGGGCATCGAACCATGACCTCCTGGTTCCTGGGTCGACCAACGCTCAACCACTGAGCCACACGGGCCCGGCTGGTTAGTTGTCGGATATGCATTGTGTCGGACGTCCCGGTCTCTGATGGCACTGTCTTTGCTTTCTCAGCAGCTGCTGCCACGGGAGCTCCAGGACTGCCCCCCGAGCGGGTGTGGGGACCCCCCCACCCCTCCTGGCCTCACAGGAACCTGCCCCTCCAGGCCCTGCCACTGGAGGCCCCACGGGGAAAACACAGAGCCTTCACCCCTGTGCCTCCCCCCTCCGCCCTCCCAGCCCCCACGGATGCCCCCCAGGCCTTCCCGGGGAGGACAGAGCCTCTGCCCGCGCAGACGGACCCTGGCCTGGGCGGCGGGGCACTGACCCCTGGCTGTCCCCTCGGAGCCCGGGACAGAACTAGGTCGCTCGGGCCCTCCCTGCTGGACGCCGACGTGCAGGGCCAGAGCCAGGACTGCACGCCGCCCCTGTGCCGGGCGAAGAGCGGGAACGGCCGGCCGGCCGGCTACCAGCTGGAGAAGGAGTTCCTGTCTTAGTGCCTTATGTATGCAAGCATTTCTCTCTTTTATAAGGTGAACGATTAAAACACTGCGTCTGTCTTTGAGTTGTTTCGTGCTGCTGGGTCTCGCAGAGCGGCGGCCCGCGCCGGCAGCGGTCATGGGTCCGAGAGGCACATGGACGAGAGCGCTGCAGGCCGGTGGGTCACCTTGTCCCCTCCCTGCCTTCCTCCCTCTCCTTTGTTCTTTTTTCTCCTTTCCTTTCTTCTCACCTTTCTTTCTCTAACTCTCTCTCTTTTGTGCAACAAAAAGCCAAGAAGAGGAATGTGCTATTAGTAAGTAAAGGTGCCTATTTTTAAAGAAATATATTTTTATTGATTTCAGAGAGGGAGAGAAATAGATAGAAACATCAATGATGAGAGAGCATCATGGACCGGCTGCCTCCTGCACACCTCACACTGGGGATGGAACCCACAACCCGGGCCTGTGCCCTGACCGGGAATCTAACCGTGACCTCCTGGCTCATAGGTGGATGCTCAACCACTGAGTGACGAGGGCCGGGCAAAGGTGTCTATTTTTTTAAAAAAAAAATGGTAACCAGAATAGATACAAAACCCTATGTAAGGGCCCTAGACCCAACAGTAGGGTTATAATGGGTAAATACATCCAATTCTCACCTGAACTTTGCACTATTTCTCTCTTGGAGGAGAATCTACTGAATGTAACTTACACATTTTACCCATTCGACGTCCAAAGCAGATGTGCCCACGATCAGACCTTGGCGTTGGGCTCAGCACAATGTGTGCGCCTGAGACCTGCCTCCCGGGTCCTCCCCGTAGAGAGCGGGGCTTCCGGCTCCAGTAGCCAGGGGTTCCGCCCCCAGAACGGAAAGCCTTTTCCTTTTGTGGCAGAATCTTTAAAAACGGACACGCGTATCATTGTGTTGTACGCATTCAGGTCACGTCATGTCATTTTTTCTCTGTTTCAATGCGTCGTTATCTGAATCACCCCAAGTACAGTTGGAGAGAAACACTGCCAAGTGCAGAAACAGCAGCACTGTTAGGACTCAAGTGCTGTGTAGCTATTTCACAGTTCATTTAATTCTGGATTTTTCCCTGAAGAAAACAACCTTGTGTTTTAAGATTTCTCGCAGCAGAATCTCAGG